GGGAAGTCTGTGAGACTTTTGCAAAGGAGACACTTACTGGAGAGGCAAATGCTGTATAACAGTACTGCTAGGTTCATTTTGAAAGAGCAGTCTTCAATGTGTTGCATGAGCAAAGCTATGCAACTGCCACGATTAATACAGAAAGGATGCAAATAAAATAATAAGAAATCTTTTAAATCCTTCTGTGGAAAAGCCTACCCCAAACAGCTTTCGGGAGCCACGCGCGTATTAAAAGAGCACAAGATACAGGGTGCGTGCAGGAACAGCCTGAGATACCTTCTATCTCAGTTGTCCCTGCATGAGTAATCTTGTAGGGCAAATATTTCATTCTGAGTTTCCTTGCTTTCATTTTACCATGTGCATTTTCCCCTCATGACCATTTACTTTTCTCCCTCTGCTGCAAAGCAACAAGTCTGGAGTCTCAGAGTCTGCAGCTTGGTGTGTAGTCACTGCCTTTGGAGTCACTGCAGATGGTATCTGCTCAATGTTACCAAACGTTGCATGGCATGTTTAAGAGCAAAAAACTCTCCCAAAACTACTTTAGAGCCAATGCTTTACAGAATAAGTCTCAGGATCCTAGTGGGAATGAGAGGTGACAACTCAGTTGAGGGTCCTACTCCCAGATTTTATGTATTTTCAGCTTAATTTAATTTTAGTATGCATTTTACCATCGTACAGGGCAAGAGGAAATGTCTGTGCTTCCAGATTCCTCCGGAAAGATCATTTCACAGGGGGCCTGCCCCTTTTAGTTATTATTTTTATAAAATTGTCTTCATTAGACTGCTCAGGGAAGGCTTATTTTCTCTGTGAGGCTCTGTGTGCAAGATAGCCAGGATTAAAGACCAAGGCCGCCCAAATAAGAAAATCAGTGAGTAGAGAGGAGCAGCTGGAGAAAGGCCAGATACTCTGGCAGGAGATGCTTCAGTGAGTGAGCGCATTCACCCGCATGAGGGGCCGGAGGACAGCTCTTGAGAAACAGCTCCTGAATTAGCTTTTAGTCTTGTCAGCTGGCAGGGAACATTGCAGCTTTCACAGGGAGAAGGATGTTCCACAGCCCTGCCCGGCGTCCTTACGGGGATGGCAAACCTGGCGTTGCTGGGCTCTGTGAGAAAGATCAGGGCTCTGGTTAATGAAAGCTCTTGCTGAAGGCTCAAAATGCTCATTTCCCTACGGGGCATTGCTTTCTAAGGCAAACAAAATTGACGGGGCAAGAGAGAGGTTGCCAGCAAACTAATAACGAGAGGAAAGGATTAAGCTTAGTTTAACTTTCTAGAAGTAGCTGGTTTACATTAACATGTTGCCAGGAACAAGGAGGAGGCACTGGGCAGTTTGCATTATGCTGAATAACTGGGTATCCAATGCATAGAGAGGTGAAAAACATGACGCAGCCCCAGCCCTGCAAAGCCCTGCGCTCTTTCCAGTGGTTGGGAGGGACTGCTAACACCTTTGCAGGATCAGGCCTTATCTGAACTGCTCTTTAGACTTCAGGTCTTGGAGCAGTGAAAGGAGTAAGGTCAAAATATCAAATGAGCACGACGTCTCTTTGAGGTGCTATTGTATCTTTCTTCGAAGGTTGCTTGTGCCTCCTTAGTAAGTTGTTCTTGCTACATTTTTGTGTCCTCTTAAATAAAACCTGTGTGGCTCTTGGTAACGCAGCTTCTATGCTCATAAAAAATGAGCAATTTTGTGCTAAATTCTAATTAAGGGGTTTAATCGAGCCTCCAGTTGCTACTGTGTCTATGTGAGCATCAGCTGGGGAGCACCTAATCACTTGGAGATCGGTGCTCCTTCCCTCTTGTTTATTTAAAGAGTCCTTCTGTGACACTGTTCTTCCCTTATGACAAACTTCCTTAAATATCAGGAGGTGGATGAAAACAGCATGTAGGGCTTTTGGCTCTTCCCAGGCAGCCACCTATGTGCTCTGGAAATGATACTGAAGGACTCTCTTTTTAAAGCCTGAGGTCAATATCCTTTTGTGCGCTGCACGGAAAAAAAAAATAGCTAAATGCTCCCTTATTCTTGAAAGCTTTTAATATTAGAAGGCTAAATTGTCACCAGAGACATTTATGATTAGAGATTTCAACATGATTATTTTTCACCACGTCCTTCTCTTACAGACCTTGCTATATATGAAAGAAAAGAAAAGAAAAAAAAAAAAAAAAAAAAAAAAAAAGTCTGTCATCTTGCAAGAGCAGGAAGCGCCAGCCAGGTTCAGATCAGAGCCCTGCGACGAGACTTTGAGCTCGCTGCACGGGTGAACACCCAGGGCAGCTCTGCTGCGGGCATTGAAGTTATTCTTGGGTAACTCAGCTCGGACAAGGGGGCAGCTTCCGAGAAGAATCAATCGCACTGGTGTAAATTAAGCAGGAAACACAAATAACTCCTAAGCCCAGTTTTTCAAGGGCCGGTTCCCCTCCCCAAACCTTATAGCTGTGCGCTATACATAATTAAGGCATACAATAGTTTCACTTCTGCTGTATTTCAAAGCGGCGGCCTCTTGGCTTTGCTGAGGTGCTGCTGAAACAGCATCAGGCGATAAGATTACTGTGGTAAGCGGGGCTTAACCCTGGGGAACAAGGAATGATTTGAATCACGGAGTTGGTCCTTCCTTCTCCTGCAGCAAGCGCAGGCCCAGGCAGGTGGCTCCTCCTGCCCTCCCATTTTACACCCTCACAACCAGTGATCATGTCACCCAAAGGGGATGCTCATGGTGTGAAGATGCTTCTCAGGAGGCCCTGCCACTGCAGCGCGGGGTGCCGCGTGTCCCCAGCCCTGCGCACGGGGTGCTGCGTGTCCCCAGCCCCGCGCTCCACCCGTGTCCCCAGCTCTGTGCACGGGGTGCTGCGTGTCCCCAGCCCCGCGCTCCACCCG